CAATCTTCTCGCTCCTCTCTCTATCTTTGGTCTTCCCTCTCTCTTCCCCACCTTCTGGCAATCCGATCTTCACCCTTCTCTCTCCTTCTCGTTCGAACCTCTTTCGGTCCCTCTTATCAATCCTGGACATTGGCGGCTGTGGCGCGAGACTTTTGAGGAATTGTCTTTCTGCCTGGCCTGAGTACAAGTGAAGTGGACGGGCACTGTCGAGCACCCCACGTGGATCGAAAGTCCGGAGCTGCTAATCATACAGGGTTGGAGGACTAACGCGGAAGGAGATTTTATCGTATTCCTCTTTGGATCGGTACAACCGGGTCGCCGTCAGTTGATTGCACAGGAGCTCATCGCACTGATTGTGCAATTGGCGGACGACCTCTCGCCCGACATCTACTTTCAGAGTGACAACAGTCCTGCTCCACACATTTTCGAGCGATCTGTACTTGGAGGAACCTAGGGACGAGGATACGCTACCATCGCGGCAGGAGTATCTGAAGCCGTACGAGATCATCCCTTACGCCTTCTACCCGAAGGCAGAAGAAGTAGTGATCGAGGAAGAAGACGACGGCGAGAAAACATCGGAGGAGGGAAGCCATAGTGAACATAGCAAGGGCGAGCTAAGTGAGGAGGAAGAGAAAGAAGAAGGAACCGGGTCCGAGTGGGAAGCGCCGCCGGCGGAAGCGACGCGTACGGACACGGAGGCGGAAGATCCAGAAGTGGCGCGAAAGCGCGAAGAGATTGTCTCCGGAAAGCACCAGCTGAAGTCCGCTAGCGAAGCTAGCCTGCGCATCGGTAGCAATCCGACCAGGGAGCCAGAGCCGCAGAGGCCCGAAGATGGCGGCCCTGCAGCCGCCACCTCGAGTACCGCTCGACGGAGACGGCGCCGATCCCCCTCCTCCTCCAGCCCCACCCGTCCCCCAGTTCGCCCACGTACCGATGCGGGCGATAGGCCTTCATCCTCGAACGCTGTCCCGCCGGCCCCTTGATTTCCCTTCCCACCCTTTCCATCCCCATCTCTTCCATCACCTTCCCTTCCCACCCTTTCCATCCCCATCTCTTCCGTGACTTCTACTCTACCCGTTTACTCGCCACCGTCCACCCCCACGCCTCCCTTCAGTCCGCTGCTCCCACATTCTGCTGGCATCTCCTGCTGTTCAGCGCTACATGGGAGCCAAGCAACGTGGTAGAGGTCTACTGCGTTGCCACGGGGACAATCCCCGCCTGTCGCCACTTCGAGAACTTTCGAGCGGCACTTTTCTGCACCCTCTCTTCCTTCTATCGCGATTACCTCCCCCGCAGTGGCGATCATTTCCCCTGCTTCCACCGGATCATCCGATACGAGGAACTCCCGGTGACGATGGAAGAGATGAATCGCTTCCTACCCCCMCCCCCTCCCCGTCATCCCCGCGAGATCGCCGGCATGTACCGCCTCTACTAGCCTATTCCAACAAGGCGGTGGTAGATCCCATTCACTTGACTAAGCCCCCCCCCCTCCCTTTTTTTTCTCTCCTCCCTTCATCAGCACGAATCAGTAAGCTTCGCGAAAGATCACGCCATCGATGATGACGTCAACCTACGCGCTGATTCGACGGACGGCACCGAGCAGGGGTGCAGAGCACACGGAGATCGGGTGGACCATGATGGCGTCACCTGGACGATCTCCACGAGGCAGAGGGTTGCATATGACAGGGCTGCAGAGATCTTGCCACGGATGTTGTCGCCATCTCATCCGCGGCTCAAGTTATCGTTCCTTGTGCTTCCTTCTACTCTGTTGATACGTTTGGTTCCTCATGCATTACTCTGTTCTCCCCTCTTCTTTTTCGCCGAGACATGCAATCAGGAGATCGCATAATTTTGGAACTCCCTGCGCATCACATATGTGACGAACCACTTCATGAACCCGTGCTATCTTTCGTACCCTTTCTTTTGCTTATATCCTACCAACCACAGGAAAAACCCCGTTGTTATTTCTTGCTTTCGGGTGCTGCATTTTCCTTTTTTTTTTTAGAGTTTTTTCGACTGCTGAGTTCTGTTGTTCCTTTTGCAAAGTCAGGAAATACATGGGAAATTGCGCGCGCCTTAGCGAGCGCGCTGGGAATTGGGCTTGGTAGTTGGGAACTTCGGGATAAGTGAAAACTTCGACGTGTCCTTTTTGGGTGTGTAAATGTTCTTGGGCGCGTCGAAAAACTTTCGGAATTTCGTCCGGACACGTATAGGCGTAGGATTTTCTTTTCCCGCGTCGCTTTTTTGCGCGCGGATATGGTGATTTCAATTTTGAATTAGGAGCCAGCTGTCACTGTTTTGGTGCCTTTTCCTTTTTTTGTTGACGGCGTCGTGCATGCAAAAGCTTCCTCCTCTCTGTCCCCCGCATCGTCCCCTCCCGCGCTCCCTGTCCTTCTCCCTCCTCTTTCTCTCT